AATGCACCCATGTACAGGTGCAAAGAAGAAAAGGAATGCACCCATGTACAGGTGCAAAGAAGAAAAGGAATGCACCCATGTACATGTGCAAAGAAGAAAAGGAATGCACACATGTACAGGTGCAAAGAAGAAAAGGAATGCACCCATGTACAGGTGCAAAGAAAAAAAGGAATGCACCCATGTACAGGTGCAAAGAAGAAAATGAAAAAAAAAACAAGGAATGCACCCATGTACATGTGCAAAGAAGAAAAGGAATGCACACATGTACAGGTGAGAAGAAGAAAGGAAAGAAAAGAAGGAATGCACCCATGTACAGGTGCAAAGAAAAAATGAATACACACATGTACGGGTGCAAAGAAGAAAATGAAAAAAAAACAAGGAATGCACCCATGTACATGTGCAAAGAAGAAAAGGAATGCACACATGTACAGGTGCAAGAAAGAAAGGGAAGAAAAGAAGGAATGCACCCATGTACATGTGCAAAGAAGAAAAGGAAAAAAACAAGGAATGTACCCATGTACATGTGCAAAGAAGAAAAGGAATGCACACATGTACAGGTGCAAAGAAGAAAAGGAATGCACACATGTACAGGTGCAAAGAAGAAAAGGAATGCACCCATGTACAGGTGCAAAGAAGAAAAGGAATGCACACATGTACAGGTGCAAAGAAGAAAAGGAATGCACACATGTACAGGTGAGAAGAAGAAAAGGAATGCACCCATGTACAGGTGCAAAGAAGAAAAGGAATGCACACATGTACAGGTGAGAAGAAGAAAAGGAAAAAAAGAAGGAATGTACACATGTAGGAAAAAAGAAAAGCAACAGGCAAAATCTTGATGTCAAATGAGCACAGCGATGATCTACCAGTAACTAGTCCTGTCGTACCTTACAGCCATGATGTGGCATTCCAGCCTGTCCTTCATCTGTGTATACAGACATTTTTAAGCCAGCAGGGTGCTGTTATGAGAAAATAAGGGTTGGGTTATTGCTGAGAAATTGCTGTGAAAATTGTCCCGCTAGGTCCCCCTGGGCAGGTAATTTCTTGTCTTGGTTTTTTTTTCCCAGCACAGAAATCAATCATGTTTGAATGGCTGTGACATTTTGTAAAAGGTCACTTCAGATGTAAAACTTTATCATATTAAACCTTTCAAAAGCTGCCTTGCACACAATATACATGTATATAATTTTTGTTAATAGGCCTAGCTCCGCTTATTCTGTGCATGTCTCATTACGTGTACCTCCACTAACTTCCTTGTATTTTTTGCTTAGGCAAACAAACTTCATATTTTTATATCTGTTCTTAAAACCATTTAAAAGGTACGACTCTTATCTGCCTTGGTTTCTGCTGAGCACTATTTGAATAGGGGTGTAATGATTCACTGATGCATCGATAATCACGATTCTAAAATGCCACAATACGGTATCCCGATACAAAAATGTGATTTGCAATATTTGGGGGGAAGGGGGATTATGACAAAATGTGCAGTAGAAAAAAAAATTAGGTCTAAAAAAAGTTAAAATACAAAGTTTTATATTTTTAATGTCACCCATACTGATTACTCTTGCAAGAAATAGTTTGGTTGGGTTAAGCATCACGGACAACTCGCCGAACGTACATGACGTACCTGGCAATAGAATACAAAAGTGACAGTCGGGCATGCGTGGATGTAATGGCACGGCCAAACCTTCACACCGATCTCGGTGTCATGAGAAAATTGGATGCATATCGGACTTTATCCTTTCATTTGTTAAACCACACCAGTTTATCAGTTTTAGAAAGGTTTTTCTTCTTTGCTCAAGTGCCGATTTTTCAACGCGGTGGTATCTACTGGAGCTCCGTAATGCACACGACTAGACTGAATCTACACGTGCGCACATGTACATATACATGCACAGCTAGGCTTGAAGCGCGAGCGCAAGCCTTGTGTGTGAACAGCATCTTGGGACCATCCGGTCATTGTGTTGTGATTGGCTGCCAACGAAACATCAGTATTCATACCTATGTCAGTGGGACTCATTACAGCCATTCATGTATGAGCAAAAGTAGTGACTAACAATCTCCACTACAATTTGAATGGTGTTTCCTTCAAAAAACTGTAAAAACAAATTACTGAGAAAAGAATGCACATAGATGCACTTGAGTTTTCACATTTGTTTGCGAGTACACATGAATGATACATGTACCGTACCTATACGTATAAACAGTGCAATTTGTAACAGAAGATGAGGGATCACTCAGTTGCAAAATGAACATGAGTGTCATGTATACGAACAGCATTCAGGACTTAACTTCCTTTAGCACCACTGTGCATGCAGAATAATGTGCATTCATTCTTTGATTAGCTGAATTCAGGCTGACCAGCAGGACCTGACAAGCTCTGTGGTTAAGATATCTGTAACTACATGTAGCAAAAGTATTTGAGTCCCATCCTAGGAAGCAAGTGAATTCTCTCTAAAAGCAAGGAGTTAGTGCTTGGTGAAAACATTCAACTAACACTTAAGTGAGCGCTTGACAATCCAACCAGTTTCACTCAAAATGCTGCCTTGAAGAATAAAAATTCTTCATGTCACTATACCCACCTCCAGGAGAGGCACCCCTTAATTGGTTAAAAAGAGCCAATGGTGGTCAGGGGTGCTCATGGTTTGATAGCGATGCATCTGTTAATGCTTGTGAACCAGCAAAGAATGGTTCCTATCTTGCTGAGAAAATTACGTCCTCTCTTGGTGTAGATTGGGGCTCATTGCTTGCAATAAGGACGTGTCAGAGGCTGCAACAGCAAAACAGTGGTGACAGGGGAGGGGACACTTTACACACCTTTGTGGTAGGGTATCTAAATGTTGCGGGCAAGAGACACATGAAATTTCCAATAAGTGATGGGCAGAAGGGTATACATGTACCTTCACTATAAATCCATGCCTTCCCACTTCTGTCAGCAATCATGAGAGACACATTTTACTTCAGCATGCAGTTTCTCTGAATTTACATTTGAAAATGCACATGACGGAAGGCATGTATAGTTGAGTTGTAGTCAAAAGTCTACATACACATCATGGACTGAAAGTATTGAATTACAATTTTCAAGACTGTGCCGGTTCTTGGTAACTAGTCTTTTTCTAGAGCATATACATGTACAGCATCACACCCACCTTATTTACATGAACCTGAAACTGAAGTTTGGACCTGCAGAAGATATTCTAATTGATTAGCTAAAGAAGAGTAATGGTTGCCAGGAAGTCTTCACACAGTGCTTACAGTCCAAAGTGTACGTACACATTTTACCACAACTATAGCTTTGATCAATAACATGAACAAAGTACACGAGGCCCATTCCTGGTCTTCTTGTATTCTGTGCTTCAAAAGGAGGGTGAAAGGAATCAAATTTACATGTGGGAGTGAGTGTTTCTGAACATGTATGTTTTAAGCGCATGTGCTCAGCCATCAAGAATGCTTTCATATACCTGACAGTACTATAACAATGTTTCTGCACTTTCCACTAACGACAGGTGATTTTTGTCAGGTGCAGCTTTAGTGAGACAATACAGGAGGCATAATCACTGTGACAAATCCTTGAAAGGCCAGAAATGTTTCACGGGTTGATTTGTTTCACAGCCTGCTTCATCCGTTTTCTTCTTTGCAGGATTTAAATGAGACGGGTCTGGTAACCACATTCTCATTCAGGCCAAAACACAAGCCATCAGTTCACCATGGGCGATTCCAGACTAGCCACCAAGGTCCTGTTGGCGACTATTATTGTTCTTTTCACCATTGCAGCAACGGTATGTGTAGTCTGTGTGGACATCTTGAGGATTGATGGGGCAGTTGAGCGGGGAGGGGGCTCAACAAGCTATGGTCCATTAACTCAACCAAACTACATGTAGCTCCTAAACCCCCTAAAGAATAGTGGATCACATAAATTGGGGCACAGTGTATCAGGAACAGGTACATTGTGTACCTGAGTACCCAACAGTTGCTGTTAGGAACCAGCTCCAAATTATGGAAATGGGTACCAGTGGCCAACTTTATAAATTACAGTTATTTTAAAGTTTTTTTATAACTTTTCCAATGAACAAAATGAAACTTTTAAAAGTTTTTTTTGTAAACGAGACATTTCATAATAAAAACTTAGGCTATATTGAATGCTACGTGTAGGTGACAGTGATTTCATGTTTTAAGTGCGAAGGTTGCTGGCGAGTACAATGGGCATGGCAGAATTGACCAGTTGAAATGCATTTTCCATACATGTACAAGTGTTTTCATTTTTCCTCTAATTTCTGGGTTAGGTTGTTTTTTTTGGGGGGGGGGCAGGTACCCAAGCACCTTTGTTTAGCTGTAATGATTACCTGATATGCACATGCACAAGAGTTCAAACTACATGTACACAGTGTCACTTTAAATGCAAAAGAGGTGGCTCTTTGCAGTGTGCTAAAATACAATTTGGATGTAAAATGCAGCACATGAGCATGGAGACACGTCCCAGACTCGTCTGAACGCACAAATATTTATGAATAGCATACACAGAGAAATACCACAGCTGGGCTGGGCTGACAAATCCGGCCAGCTAGGACACCATCTGTGATATGTATGCTGACAAAATCCATTTCAAGTCATTGGCCCAGGATCTCATTAGTGCTAGGAGCGGAGTGGAGTGGAAAAATATTACAACCGGGTGTTGGCAGTCCAGGGAAGTGTTAAACACTTGTGCATATATATACCAGTACCTAGCTCATCACATTTACTTTGGGAAAAAAAAATGGTTTACCAGCACAATTCACAGACGTTCTGAAGGGTTAGCACAACAGCTGCAGCTGGTCATGTCTGAGGTTCTTTCTTTTACAAAACTGCAATATTTTAAGGCAGATATACCAGTAATTTTAACGTATACAAACAATAAAGGAAGGTTGTCATGATACACTTATTTACAATGATGTCAAATCATCGACCAGAAATCGGGTGTTCTTCCAGAAATCTGATGATTTTTTTTTTTTTCAAAAAGCAACCAAAGGCATACAATGTCTCTGTGTGGACATGGGAACAAGAGATGTCTTCACACTGAAGGTAGTATACTAAACATATTGTGAGGACTTGCCCAGATTTACGCACTGTTTCCCCGTCTCTGAGAGACAGTTTGAGAGGCATGTTGGAGTTAATGGTAGCAAAAGGTACGGGACATTACATGTATCAGCAAATCCTGCCAAAGGGAGAAGTCAAAGTGAAAAAAAAAAAAAGCATTTTCTTTCAATTTCTTTCACTGCGCAAAAAGAAAGGAATGTCCATAGTACATGTGTAATGACCGGGCCTTGACCTTAAGCTTTTTTAACTGCCCTGCAAGGCAAGTTAACTTATTTTTTTCACTAGCCTCCAGGAATTTTCACAAGCACGCTGGACAGTGTTCACCTTGACTGTTTTTTTTCAACTGTATGTTTTTAACCGTTACTGTGGAAGTCATGCTGTCAATTCTAAAACTTAAAAGAGGAGGAATCAAAACTGTTACAATTAATAATAAACAACATGTACAATCAAAATTCAAAACATTTGTAACCCTGTTTTATTCATCTTTACTAATAAGACGAGAGACAGTTTCAAAGGAATGTGTTACTTTACTAGCCCACCGGGCAAGTTAATATACTTTACTAGAGTGGCAGCAGATTTTACTAGAATTTGTCTGCCAGTCTGGTGCAACGATTGAGGCCTGGTAGACACATGTGCATTAACAGGGGCACCTGACCACAGCAAATTATGGTCTCCTCTCAGGTTCTTGTTGGGCTCTCAGTTTGAAGGTGCCTGACTCCTACACTTTCACATAAACAGAAAATGAGATTCTCTCTCTTGATTTCCTGTCTGACAGGGCATGTCTAAGCTCTCGGCCCTGACCATGGTCGTGATAGCCTGCCTGGTCTTCTCCACCACACTGATCGCCATGATGTTTGACAAAGCCATCCTGCACTTTGCCACGGGGAAAGGAACAAACCAGGCTGACAAAGAGACTAGCACAGCCACGACTGCCAAGACGGAATGATGTTGGCAGGCAGGAAATCATGAGGCAAACTGCATGCCTGATCTCCTCTTCATCTCAACTGTTCTTCCCCGTTTGACCGGTGAAAGTCGGGCTGTGTGGTTGTCTGGCAATGATGCCAAGGACTGAAGACAAACCCCAGTTAAAAAAAAAAACTTCATTAATGATCTGGTTAGATAGAATAACAACCAGATACAAACCTATGGCCCCAAAACTGTCAATGATGTCTCGTTCTTAGAAACCATCCAGTGTATGATGAATATCATGGGTCATGATGTTCCACTTGTAGTGGTGAAACTACAAAATGTACAAGGTCATGTATAGCACAATGAACACATACACTGTACATGTACCGTTCCATGTACAGTGTAATGTTAGAAATCACTCAATGATCTAGCATCCGCAGCTGTTTGGACTTTATGAAGGTATCTGCAGACTCACACGGAACATTATACAATCAGATTATCGAATATCCCAAACGAATGCAAGGTTGGACATGCAACCAAGTCAGACTGAGTGAAATTGTCTCTAACACACCATGTCCTATGCTTGATAGACATCAGACAACAAAATGACATGTCTGAATCACACTTATTACACATTAAGGGGTCAAATGTGGAAAAAAAGTAGAGTTTCAAGTCCACAATCAAAACGGTGTTCTTAGTGCAGGAGTTTGTTTCTATCGAAAGTGGACTGATGGGATGGCATGCCACACGTACATGTATTTCTCAAATTTGAAAAACCAGCCTGCCACTATTGCATTGCATGGACAAGTCAGTCACACTTTCTACTGATCATCCGCACTGGTTCAAATACTTTTAAACAACTGTTGGGAACTTGGGCTTGCTTTTCAAGGCTACGGTATTTGGTACATGTACATGTATGAAATGTACCTGACAAAGTATGGAGGGCCACATCTCTCAGTGAAAAGAAAGGAAACAAAAACAATCTGACATAGGCAGATATTTGTGAGGCTACTCAACAACATGAGAAGTTGTGAAAGTAAGTTCTGACTCGATAGCCTTGGCACATATGCTACTCAGAGTAAACCAAATTGGAAATGTCAAGTTTTTGCCAACATTATTTCCACATCCATCTGAATGTCACACATGGGTAATACCCACAAAGTATGTTTTTTAATGTGTACAAAAAATTCGGACTCATTTTGTTGGATCAATTGATATTTTAAACACGACTGACATCTATCTGGTATAATGTACTGGGTTACTGGTTCAGTTTACAAACATGAAATCTCTCTTGCTTTGAACCCAATGAGGAGAAATAAAATGGCATGTCACATACATGACATCACTGATTCCAATATGCTACACATTACATGCGGATGTGCTTGTGGACACAGCAAGCGTGCATGGTACATGTCATTCATGATACAGAGTTGAACGTGAGCCCCTTAAGTTGGAATGCCCGCCTCCAGCTTGGGAGACAACCTCTGCATGCCTGGGATGAACTCTGCTGGAATCTTCTAGTCTGATGATCCCCCCAAAAAACCAACCGATGTAAAAGAGGGCCACCGCCGATAGTGGGCGAGGAAATGCGCACATGCCTGCATCTTCATTGGCATCTGAGCCCAGGCACAGGCCGGCAATCGCTGCTGTGATGATGTGTACATGTCAGACATTCGAGGAGCCCTGGACAAATACACCAAAGGCAATCTGAGGCCTGCAATGTCTGGACGGCCGTCTTTCTCTTCAATTGAAATTGTTGCCAAGTACTAAAGCCTTCTGATTCGCAGAAATCTGTGAGGTTTAATTGAGTTCAATAGGTACCAGACAGAGTTTTGCTTTTATGGAAGAACTGTGTCTCAACCTTTGTTTAATTCCACCAAAAAACCCACAACCTGAACTGCTTGGCACACATTATAAAAAGATGAAGTGTCTCTTTTTCAAGGGTTAACTCTACACACTGGTACCAGCATGTCATTTCATACTTCTGTTCTCTAGAATCAGATTTTAGAAATCCGTCGTTCCATCAGTTACAAGTATCGGTATGTCAGTGCTTTTACGTCTGTCCACGATGATTTGTGTGACTTTGTGATATTTTTGTTCTGGAAACAAACATTGTTACAGGTAAGAGTGACTGTAATTTTTCGTCACGTAAAATTGTTTAGAAATTCATGTAGTCTGACATTTTCATAACGAAATTACACGTGAGCTTAAGAAAAGTTCTTGTTTGTTCTTAATGTTGAGTACGAAGAAGTAAAAGGAGATAGAAACAGGGATAAGCAAAATGTAATGAGTTTTTTAAAAATCTTTAGCTGGAAAACATGCAAAAGACAGTTTGTAGGAAACTTTGCTTGTAAAGTGGCTTTAATACAGTTCTTCCCACCACGCACTGCTAATTTGCATAATCCTTGATCTGAAGTTTAATAACTCCTAAACTTTCTTAGAGCACGATAAACATGTAAGTGCACATGCAGCATTAGATATGGCAACATTGCGAGGGTTGAACAGGTTCCAGAGCTGCATTGCAAGGAAATACCGGTAGAAAATGTAGTCAAGCAAATTTCCCATCTGTGCAAAAATAACAAATCAGCTAAAACCAATATCTGTTGTGTATGTCCATGCTGGAAAAGCCCCCAGACTGAATGGCCTATGGTTCATTCAGGTTTCTGAAAACAGACTGTCTCCAGCCTTTATCACAGGTGGAATCAAGTCAGTCAAGAGCCAATTCCAAGTCAGTTCACAAAGATAGTATTAACGAGTCGGTTCACAAATCAGGTTAGAATTGAGTCATATGAACAACGAAACAGGAATACCCTTAATTCAAATACATGTAGCTTGTGAACTGACTTCAGACTCAATGACTAGTGACTGACTTGTGACTGGCTTGTGACTGACTCAACTACAACTTTGGCCTTTATCTTCTACGGTACATATTGGGTAATCAATACACCAAGCATTCTCAATATCGGGTTTCCTGATTTATCAATTTTCTGAAAAAATCCAATATTCATGGACCTGAGCGTGAGCAAATTCGCAAAGTCCGGCAAGGCCTTCACCTGTGAACGTGCACTGTACCATGCAGGTGTACATATTCCTCAGCAGGTACCATGTACATGGCACTACCTGAAACCAGTCCGAAACAGAGAAACCAACTGCCATGGATACACATACATGAGTATGTTTATTTTCACCTGTCACCACGTCACTGCACAGACTTCCGAAGAAGTGAAGGGCTACAATGTATAACTGATGTAACGTATGACGTCTAAACCTAGTTTTGCTGTGCCCCAGACCTGCTGACATTCATGTACATTTTTTTAACCTCAAGTTTCCAAATAGGAAAATATACAAGTACAGAGTGACGTCAATGTTTTACCTGCCCATATGTCAAGCGACACACAACGTTGTAGAATATTTCTTCCCAACCCCTGCTATGGACTTAAGCATCATATCACCATAATGCACATGATTTTTAGTTAATAATCAACGACAGTTTTTTTTACCAATACATTGTACATGCACGACTGACTTGGTCGATTTGGCCAATTTCAATGGCCAAAAAGGAAAAAAAACTCCTTTTAAATTCACTGTTGATGCTGTGAGTTCATTTGTGTAATGAATAGGGAAACTGTACATGTATGTACTCAAAGTAATAAACCTATCTAATTACACAGTAATTAAATATATACATGTACACTGTACATTTGCACATGTATGTACATAATGTATCATGTGTTGAAATTGTATCAGTTTTAGGGCAAAGCAGGCTAAAGAATGATGTCCTCTGTGACTGTAACTCACACTTTAATGTACAAATGTAAGCTTTACTTGTGCAAAAAGTGAAACTGGCTTTTAGCTGGATGTTTTTAACCAAATCACTTTTTACCCCGACTTTTTTAAAGCATATAATTGTACAGTGAGGAGTTTTACACTTGCCTGGCTCAAACGATAATGCAGTTGCTTCGGAAGGGTTTGCCAACGTATAGTTAGACAGGCAAAATTTGAGACTAGTGCAGTTGCAACGTGTTGAATGTTTAGTTTTGAGCAACTTATGTAATAAAACCGTTTGCATCGATATTTTTTAATGAATGAAAAATACCATTAGAAACTGCTACAGAATATCAATACTGAAATGCCTACTGCCTACAGTAGGCAACTGTTTAAGTACAACAATAGTTTATTTCACGTTGTGTGTGTGGACTAAATGTACATGAATGTCAAAGTTTTGAATACAATTGTACAAGAAAGTGAAAAAGGAAGTTTTACATAAAAAAAAGTTGACTAAATGTACAGTAACTTGTAAGACTTTTAAGCTTCAGGTAGCTTGGAAAATAAAGCACCACTGTGCAAAGCTGAAACTCCAATAAAATATTTTCAGTGGTTCAAATGTAAGAACGTGATCACTGGCGGAGAACTCTGTCGGCCTCCGAGTTCTTGGGGTAGAGAGTTATCCAGTGTCAAAGGTGGAAGGGGGCTGGGTATGAGGGAGGGATTGGGAAAGATTTCCTCCATACATGTAAATAACCCTCTCAAAACTCTGGTTTGAAAGAGTGCTGAACACGCAATCATTTCGTTCGTGCGACAGAAACAAAGCTTACAGAGCTATCCCCAGATAATGAGGTCAAAAGTGCAGGTGTGTATATGGGCATGGTCGCCAGACACTTCATGTATAATGCACAAAGCACTTCAAATTTTGGAGGGAGAGGGTATGCTGATACAAGAATTTGACCTGATCAAATAAAATATGCCGATCAATTGAACCCCCCCAGAAAAAATGAAGGAAAAGCTAAGAATAGTTATATTTATGAGATTAAGAAGTCTTCACTTGCTAAATCTGAAATCAGAAGAATGAATCACCAAACTTACGAGTTTGAGTTGTTGCCACTCGCAAAGGATGCATGATCCAACGTGCAAGCCACTCTCCTTTCATCAGCTTCAGCAGAACTCTTGGGGCAAAGTTGAACTCCATAATTCATGATCCCTCAAATCCATCTCCTTGACACAGCTCTGGGGTACAAAGGCACATGTATACAATAAGAGATGTTGACAAGTTGCCTTTATTTGGAATCCAATCTGAAAGGGTCAAGCAACAGAGATGGGTCGTCTCTGCTTTGGCCAGTATGGAAGGTTTTCCTATACTCAGCTCCACCTCTGTCTCCGTCTCAGGCTTCATCTCTGAAATTGAAAACCACTTAAAGGTCTATAATTTAAGTTAAAGGTAAAATAGTTAAAGTTAAATTATGAGGTGCGAGTGGAATATAAAAAAAATATGGCTGAAAATAGCTGAAATCACAAGCGCTACGTGTGAAGCATATGCGTTGTGGGGCCCTGGCAAAATTTTGAAATGCAGATGCTCTGTGGTGCAGTTTAAAGCCTCCTGCTGCAACCATTGGTCATTTTCCCCCTGCAATTTAGGCTACACATATTTTGAATTTTACTTTTTCTTTGTACTTGTCTGAAATTCCTGAAGAGGTTACAAGGAATGGAAAGAGTTACATACATGTACATGTATCCCATACGGACAACACTAATTTTCCCTTAAAATATTATAACAGCTATCAAAAAGTGAAAACATGTCCTAAAAGTGAAAAATAACAGAGGAAATTCTGAAGCATTTACTTAGAAAACAGGGATTTTTTTCAGGAAAGTGTCTGAGGTATGTGCACAGAGGCATGAAATGTTGTCTGTATATGGAACTCTTTCCAAATGAACTAGTAATAGGTATACCAAAACTGCAAATATCGAGGTTTGTAGAGTGAGTCTGCCTTTTTCCCACCTGATCAGATGAGGTTTCCAAAATTTCAGTTCTTGAAATAATGCACATCACATGCGTAGGCCTACATTGCATATCCAGGCTTTTGGATTTTCTGGGCGTTGATCGTATTGCCTGCCCGCCATGACAGTGTCGATAACATGTAGTTCAATGACTTCCTAGCATCGTATGTGCACTTATCGAGTACAATTTCACAGTCTGAGGTCATTAAGCCAGGCTAAGCTGGGAAAGGTGCAAAGCCAAGTATTTGAACACCCCTCTGTGGTTTGAAATGGAACATGGCTATCAACTTCAATGAGGGTGCTATGAGGACAAACAGCAAAAGCCACAGGAGCCATTTTGTTCCTCCTGACGAGTACAAACTAAAGCCAAGAAGCACACAGCAGCTCCTAATTCATGCTTAACACAACACTTTGCAACAAGGGCTTTTCAATGCCACGTTTCAATAAGGATTTCTCTAAAACCCAGACGATGAATGGCAGCGTCGTGGTTGAGACCGGTCAAGACCATCACAAGACCCCACAATACCAACACAAGGCCTCCAGGCTGAATTCCACTCACTTGCTCTTCAAATGAGCTGTAACGAAATCAATCATTTTTCATTGTTCGTCCCATTCCTTGTGACTGGTCTTGTGCACGGTCTTGCATTTGGTCTTGCGAATGGCCTTATGACGGTCTCAGCTACAACACTGATGAAAAGATCCCGAGGTTTTCAACAGCAAGAACACCTTCAAAAGCTTGGGTTAATGATACAGACAGCAGAAGTCGAGTTTTAGACAGCGACGCTGATCTCATTTGTGCATGCCTAAAACATGCCATCCCAATGCTAGCGCCAAAAAAAATCAGCTCAACATACCAGTAGTTATGTGACCAACAGAGGGCAGCAGTCACTGCGGATGGGAATTTATTTTGTCACCTGGCCAGGGTTAGGAATTTGTTTTTTATTCAAATGCTACACTTCACACATGCACACAAACGAAAAGAAGAAAATCACTTTAAGGAAAAAATTCAAAGATGCCATTAAAAAAGTAATTATTGTAACTCCTTTCGTTCAGTCTTTTTGAAAGCAGCAAAGCATGTGGGTCTGGTGAACATACCCAGAATGGTTTCTACGTTGAATGGCCGGGGACTAGTGATCCCCCATGACAACACAAAGTACATCTCAACCTTCAACAATCCAAAAGCATTGAACGATCAAACATTTCGGAAATATTTCAGTGAGTGGGTTAGTTAACAGACCTAGATTACTCTTTATGCACGGGTATTTTACATGTTCATGTATTTATGTTGAGGTCTTAGTGCAAATTTTTTTCAGCAGTCTAGTGGAACGCGATTTCCTTTTGGGCTGTTGCTGGGCTAATGCAGCATTTGGTGGTCCCTGCAGGTACTCCATTTGCACTCTTGTGTTTTACACAAACCCACATCAAAACCTTGAAGCTTTGTAACAGGCATCAAGTTACATGTTTTCATTGCGTCTAGATTGTTAGCATTGTATCGGATCATATATGATATACATATACAGTAAACTCTCATTATTATGAAATCGGCTATAACAAAATTCTGGTTATAACAAACACACATCTTTGGTCCCAACGAAAATGTGCACATTTCTACGGGGAAAAATCTGTTACAGCGAAATTGCATTGTACGAGATTCCTGTTACAACGAAGGGTTTTTGTGACTTTGTTACCAAGAAAACCATTATTGACGACCCATTAATGAGTGTTTATGAATCACGGTGGTGAAAACACGTGCGCAATGCGCTAAGGCAATGCTGCACTGGTTCCCACCATGCCAAACCACTGCCAAAGAAAGCATGATGGAAATACGGCAACCAGTTACGCATTGTTGCTCTACACGAACGCAGCTCAACAGTTGCATGTCAAAAAACATTGCCGTTACAAAATTTCTGCAAGTGGATTCACAGAAATTGGTCTCCTGTCTCTGTTTGTCTCTTCTGTGTTCATGAATTTAATTTGAGGTTGTACTGCTCGCACTTCCAGCGAGCGTGTTTTGACAAAATTTCCTGCTTCAGCACAAGGTTTATTGCCCGCCCCTCCAGATGCACGCGCACACTTACAATGTACGTGATATACAGACATTGTTCACCAGTTTCCTATCATGATGAGCATGGTTCCATTATCAATGATTTTTCAAAATTGATTATAGCAACAGCAGAACAAAAAATCTCTTGTCGATTCCGAAAAAGTACAACTCAAATAAGTTTGCTTAACTATTCTCGCTTCTCAAGAGTCCAACTGATCGCCCAACACTGAATTATTCATATAGCTTCTAAATAACTAGCATGCCTGCCAATGAGAATGCGTGCTTACATGACGTGCTTACAGTTTGCAAGACATAGCTGTCCAATCACAATATTCCCCTATGACATCATGCTTCTTAACTGACTATCAATCAGTTATCGTGGTTGTTCGGCTATTGTCGAACATTAAAAGACACAAGGAAACTAAAATAAGACGTCTCCCAATGACACAATTTGTGTTGGAAAGACTACTTACACGGGTGGGGGCTTCACTTGATGAGTCTTTACATTTTTGTAGGTACACATAGGCCCACATGTACGTGCAACTCTGTTAGCTTTGTCATGGTCCTCATCCATGGCGATCAAAAGTCTTTAAAAAATCCCTGGCCCAATGCTTTTATTTGCTGTTTATCTCACACGTACATTAAATATGTTTTCATATGACAGGGAAGTTTATTATTCTAAACACATCACAATATATTTGATTAATCATAACCGAGAGATCTTTTGACATCAATCATGTTCACGTGTATGCATGTACATGGACAGTACATGTATATACACTGTACATGGCATTGTACACAATAGGACCTGTTTATGCATTGTACATGTACCCAAAGCCACTGCACAGCATTCCGCCTACTATGCATTTCGGATACAGCGAACATTTTAACTAAGTCCTGCAGATTTCGTAATAACAAAGAGTTGGCTGTACATACACGTATGAACAGGTCACGTAACATTCCATGTATGTCAGCAAAATGATGACCAACAATAGAAGTTGGCCTTCGCCTAAGTCGTCACGAATTTTGGGGTATTGAGAGTGCCGACTTAGCTGGATTTCACTGCAGTAGTTGAACCACAGTTTGTATCTAAATCTGCTCTGGGTGGTAAGATACTGAGATTAGTCTAACTCTCAGTCCCAATAAACAGTGAAAAGAAGCAACTACCCACCTGATCTCATCCTCTAAGCATCTCACTGAGACGGTAAACTGTTCTTCAGAAGCCATCCTCCAGGCTGTATTTCATCATGAACTCAAAGTCAAGGTAGCCCACACGTCCGTCACCATCTCTATCTACCTCCCTGCTCACAGCAAAGAATCATACAGTCAGTGCAAATTAAGTCGTGAGGCTGACAAGTGATAGTGGGAAGGTAGTTAGATATCTGTAGGTTGAGGGCAGTATAATAAAAGTGTTGGCGGGAGATCCTTACCTGAACAGGGACTCAACCCTGTGTCTTGGGATGTGAGGTGCCACTTCACTGAATGCCCTTCGCAGGTCATCTATGGTGATGAAACCACGACCTGGTCCAATGAAAACAGTCCCAAAACAATAGCAATAAATTGTACTTGTGCAACAGAAGAATTCAGCCTTAGAGTGAGACTCGAGGCTACCTTCCCATCACTGTGACAATATGATCTTATGATACAAGACTTACATGACTGAGGAAATCATTCATAACTCCTTTCGAGAGAGAAAAATGTTGCAGGTCTTCTTTTTTTGATCTGAGTCTGACAAATTGACTTTTCTTTCCAATTTTAAATCGTTACTAGCCAACCTTTAAAAAGGTCTTTTTTTCCTTTTCCAAAAAAAAAGTTCCCAAGGCCAATCTGTTTGAAATATGACAAGCACATTGAGACATCCATTATGATGTGTGCAAATTTTCAGTTCAATCTACTAAAGGGTTTTGTTGTTCCAGTCATTAATACTAACTTTTTTTGTGTGTTGGCCAAACATTTGGGTTTACCCATCTCAGAAAAATGGCCATTTCATGTTAAGTTTAACCCTAACCCCCAATGGTTGCTGGCCCTAACCTTCCCCATTCACACAAAGTTAAACACCCATATGGGACTTTGTGCACAGAGTCTGTTCGACTTCGTTTTTCAGAGGTGTGCCAAACGCAATGCAAAAGCCAGCTTTTCGGCCTACCAGACCTATCCCCACAGAATTAAACACTTTACTACTGTTTCATTCTGTGTGGTTGGGGAAGGTTAGAGTTAAAAGGTACATGTATGCAGAGTTTAGGCCATTTAATCAGTCGTCTATGAAATTACTCCCCTTGTGGTTTCAAGCAGGCGTGATAAGAGAATTACAAAACCAAATTTTGGCTCTGAACTGAAAATGTCACTTTCCGAGGCCAAACATTTTATACTTTGCTTTAAACACAGCAATGAAAATATCAAGTTTTACCGGTACACTGGATGTAACTAATATCACTTCTAGGAAAGAGTGACGTCAGTTCTAGAACATGATCACTGAAACCAACTAGATTATCATTTGCTGGTCAACTGTCTGAAGAAGGCAACTTAAAAAAACTCAGGCGCTGCCTAACTATTAAAGGCAACGCCTAACTATTAAAGGCAACGCCTAACTATTAAAGGCAACGCCTAACTATTAAAGGCAACGCCTAACTATTAAAGGCAACGCCTAACTATTACAGGCAACAGGTACTGCTACAGGATCTTTTGTGACTTAAAAACATGTAATGATGTAGCACGGCTTTATTATACAAGTTATGATGACTCTCTCAGGGCTTCATTTTAAAGGAGCATGATCGCGCTCGCGCTCCTCCGCGCTCCTTAATGTTTTCCAAGGAGAGCAAAAAAAAAGTGCTCCTTAAAAATTTAAGGAGTGCATGGTTTTTTCAACCAGCAGATGTTGATTTATGACAAGCCCCTTGAATCTCGTTGGGTCGACAGTAGCAAACGAGCCCAAAGATTGAATATATTAAAACACAAGGGCTGGTGATCAAAGTCTTTGAGTTGTGCGCGTGTGGTTGATGAATCCCGCATCGCAACACACAAACGTGCCTAGTGCGTGAGCCTATGGAATTCCATGGACGCACGTGGCCGCGCCCGGCCGACCTCTCTCCCAGAATGGGTCGAGTTCAGGTGCTACCGTGACGTTCTCGGCCGTTTGTGAACAGCAGAAGTGAGTTTGTGAAAAACCCTGTGGTGGCTGGAAGATGGTATGTGATCCTGTTGCGTGTTTGTGTGGTTCGAGCATGAGAACAATGTTCGTTTGTCGAGAACAGAAAATATGCCACAGGAAAGAAAAATGTCTCTGGCGGGTAATGTGCCCGGTGTTCTATACAAAAATGCACTGGTCGAAGTAGTTTTCTGAGTGCAGGAAGGGATTATGAATACAATCTGCAGTGGACGTGCAATACGTTTCAAAATACCCAAAAAAAAAGGATGCACGTGCGCAGTAAATTCAGAGCCCCTGTAGCGGCGAAATAGATTGTCGGGCGAGCGAGGAGACTAGTCAAGTTATGCACCTGTCAATTGTAATCCCGGCCCCTGGGGACCCGGGACTAGCGGGGACTTAGCAGGGCACATAAAACAGGGCAATCGTGATAGTCCTGGCCAAGTCCCCGTAATTTGCCTGGCCAGGGCGGGGCACCTTTTTTTGTATTCCCGGCTGAGCGTTCAAGTTCCCTACACCATCCCTGCCCCAGCATGCGGGATTGTGTCGCAACAACCGTACAACTAAAAATAAGTAACTAATAACATTCATTAATTTCTAAAAGTCCCCTACTCTTCTGGGTCATTGCTAAGATGACATCGAGTCGGTCGCTGTAAGCGCAGGTAAAATGCCACCGAAATAAAGCAAAGCAAGGGGCAGCTGCTATAATTATCCCAAACTTTGGATAGGCATTCATCCGCATATCTGAAGCACCGGAATCAGGGGGCCGACGACCCAAATCGCTACAATCTTTCTTTGCGGACGTCTCAGAAATAATTATGGAAATTCATCCAATAGCAAAATTTGCTACGCGCTGTGTGGAGACCAATTGACCAATTGAAACGCTCGTTATCTACATATGGCCATGGCCAGTGCCAGCACATGAGACAATTAACAATTATCACAACACTTCATTCATTTATTGAAGATTGATCTAGAAGATAACGTTGATGAAAGTATTGTCTACGAACTGAAAACAACTACCAACCGTCTTGTCACTTGATATGAAAACAAGTATTCAGATCTCGTTTACGTGGTTATTACACATAATAAACATGAAAATAACTTGAGCTGAATATACAAGGCAGGTTTCCTTGATGATGACACAAGTGGCAAGACTTACAGTGTGTGTCAAAGGTCATAAAGATATGTCTAATCTCCTCGTCTCTGTCCTGTGCCGCCATCTTTGAGCTCATCAGGCTCAAGAACTGTTTCTCAGTTATGCCTATGGAGTTGAGATAGTTAAAAGAGGTACGGATGGGTTAAAACAGTCCCTGATGACATACAGATGTTCCTGATTCAGAATATTTCCGTCAGTCTACCCTTCTTCAGATGTTCTGAACCGAACCCAAGTCCTCGAGACATTCAAAAAATTCAGAACACACTGTCCTAAAACCCCGATTTAGCAGTGAAAATGTTGAAGCATTTTCTCAATAAAACAATAATAAAGAATTTTTCAGACCAGTCTCATAGGGTTTGTGCACAGGGTGTCAAGTGATGTCCGGATAATGAATTCTTTCCCTGATCAGGAAAGAAGCTCCCTAAGCATTTTGGACAGGAAATTTCCTGAATCTTCAAAAAATCCCTTCCTGCATGTGACGAAAAAAAACCAATTACCACATCCTGTCTTCTCATACATGTACCTTCCCCGACATTAAACAACCTGATGTTCAAAACAACTGCTTCATAAACAGTAAACAGTGTTGTGAAATTACATAACATGTACTGGTTATTGACTATTAGTTAATGATTTTTGGCTATCTTCAATATTAACTGATTGGGCACGCTGTGATGGTCAGTGGGTTCACGCTACCTTTGCACCAATAAGGTCTGCACTAACAGTGCATTGTACATCATTGCCGTGTGTATGCGAGCCCGCATCTCATGTAAACAGTACGAACATGCTTGGTCTCACTAGTGCCCTCTTGTTCTGGAACGCACTACATGTTGTATTTGTTCTTTCTTGTGTTTTTCCCTTGAAATGTTACGGTCGATTGTTTTGTTCTTAGTTCAAAACAACCCAACAGGTACAAAGAGCCACTGTAGATTACAGATTGAGTTGAGTGAAGTCAGTTGGTCAGTGTGGTTGGTTGCTACCCCCTAGTTGTTAGCAATCAAATCGTCCGGAATAAACCAGTTCAAGTATGTAAATCCGTGTGATGGTCCGTTTACAATATGTGCCTCCATCTTGCGACGGACGAACCCACCACAAGACTGAAAAGTTTGAAGTTTGTGCTCACCTTCGGTGTCTTTGCATCCTTTCATCATCTGATCCACCTCATACTACGTGAAAGGACACAAAATACAAAAGGCCAATTGGTTAAGAATATATATCCCATCATGACTTATGATTCAAGTAAAAATGGACAGTTCTGAGAAAAAAAAGTCCATTAATTTGCTGTACTTTTATGAAACCAGAGCATCTTCAGGATGTACATCCAGCACTGGGCTCCTGTACACCATTTTGGATGTCTTGTTTCGTTACAAATACATGAGAAAGCACAAAACCTGAACAACATGGACACCACCTTTTCACTTCACGACAAATGTAGACACCCTGTTTTCAAATGTAATTGGGCAAACAAATCCCTAGCAACAGGTAGTCTGGATGACTTGTGAGGACTTTTCCAAGAGATACCAGAATCACGCACCTTAGATGGTTTGTAACCAAAAAGTGTCACCACTGCGATTTTGAGATCCTCTCTGCACAGATAACCTTTGCTGCCATAATCACAATCACAAAATACCTATCAAAAAAATAAATAAATAAAATTTGATAGGGTTCTTGTACAACCTTAGTATTTTATTTTTACTTGGAGGAATATGGTGCAATTGGTAATCATGTAAACCTAGACTATTTTGTAAAACAGTGCATCTCGCACAAATGTGGGAGAGCGGATGACATTTGCAACTCATGACCAGAGGGCCAGGGGTTCAAATCCGGCTGATGACAATAAGCTGTTGCCTCGGGCAAGCCACTTCACCCTTTGTGCTTCTCTCCACCTAAAGTACAAATGGGTACTGGCATTGCCTGGGGAGGGACCCGCAATGGACTGACATAATACACCGATTGCACCCACTAAGTCACGTGACCTATAGAAGGTACATGTACTAAACATCAACAAACATAGGGTTCTCCCATAGTAAAGTGTTTACCTAAGATAAAGCTGATTTTTGGTATAGTGCTCAGCAGTCAGAGCACTGTACTGACCATCAGCCTTCTTGGTAAATGACACTTATGACACACTTTGCTATGGCAGGACGCAATGTTTGTTGATACATGTATATCCACTATAGATATATCCGACTTAGAAGGCGCTATCAGCCTATTGTTTCATGCAAGGAAACTGGAGATGAACACAGGCCGGAAGAGCAAAACTGGCTTAGAGCAGTGAACAGTACCTACAAGCCATACAGGATTTTTAACAGCATGCACTTCAACAAGTATCACAAAAAGGACATAATCTCAAACAGCCAATGCAAGTTTTCAAAAGAGTAAAAGGGCCTGACGTGAGCCCCTCCTACTTTTTTGATTTGAAGTTTAGGTCACTGTAGCCAGCAAGCAGTTTGCAGCAGTTTTTGTATTAAAAATGTTCTGGAATGTAAATGTTGGTGCATCACTTATAAGCAAGAAAATAACCTGTAATATTCAGAAATTATGAATAAACACAACTTTCGTGCATGAGCTAACAAGTTGCTGACAAGCGAAACGGCAGTCATGGATTTGTTACTAACCTTGGTTTGAGTCAAAATCGAGGGGATTTTTTTTTCTTATCTCTGTTTATTTTGTCTTTGAATGTCCTGCTTTGTTTCTCGATTTTGCTTCTCATACTTTTCTTGCTCAAACAGTGACAGAAAAGAATTCTATACCGGACCCCCACGATTTTTTATAAACACCACAAGTTTACCTTATGGTTTTCAAAATTTAACCCCCCCCCAAAAAATGTGCAAATACTTTGCAGACAACTGAACAACAAACGATTTATATCCAGTCCTTGTAGGCTACATTTTATTCATTTGAATTTCAACAGAGTCGGCCAGGTTCAGAAATTATTGGAGAAAGGGAAGAATTCCTTTTACCTTTTAACAAAAATTCTTCATACTCCTCTATTTCAGGAATTTTGGTGTAATTTCACTAAATTTGGCTAGCTATAAAGACGTTTCCTGTAGGCCCTGTACCTGTATACCACATGAAGAATGGAGCTGTTTCTAGGCCTTACATCTGTGACCATTGCCAGGTCCCTAATTTTGCCACTGTTAAGCCTCATTGGTTTTTACAGCAGACTTAAGTGGCGAAATAACGGACCTGGAGACTATATCGTCACAGATGTAAGTACCCCCAGAACTGTGGGGTACGATGTCGGACCCCACAGTTCTGGGGGTAAGATGTTAGTTCTTCAAAATGTGTATTGAAAGATTACCACATTATGCCTAGCCTGAAAAACTAAATGACTCTCATTTTTCTTTTTAAAAGAAAACAAGGAATTACTTGTTTCTATTTTCTGAAAGTTTCATATACGGACAACAAATGATGCCACTGTGCACAAACTAGGCTAGGAGATTTGTCTGAAAAAGTAAACGCTTTGGACTTTTCTGTCATGTCTGTGCTAAATTTCACTTTTTTGGACATGTTATCACTTTCTGATGGCTGTTATGACATTTAAGGGAAAATTAGTGTTGCCCATACAGGGAACTTGTTCCGTTTCCATTTCTCATTTTCAAATGGGAAAATTAGAAACGAATTAGGCGTAGGCCTATTTTTGGTTTCAAATTGGAAATTTCAATTGTGTTCATGGTGTTGGAAAGGGTGGGCCTGCATTGTGAACAATTTGTTTTCGTAAGCCTCTGGTTTTCCCTTTTCAAATTGAAAGCGAGTCATCCAATGTACACTGACCATACCCCATTTCTTTTTTCTTCGCTTTGGTCACAACTCCTTTATCAACACGACGTAAACAGTACAGTATTTAACACCTTGCTAAATAAAATGCCCCCAAAACAACAATCAAAATTTCCAAGATGGCGGTGTCCACGATTAGCAATCACGGTAATCGACTGATATCAATACCATCATAATTCGCCTCTTCTCAGCATCAGTCACTGTTCTAAATTTCCCAGGGAAATGTCCGACAGAATGAAATAAAAGCCTATCCATTGGAGAATCATCTAACAGATGAATTCTCGGTGGTCTAAAAATTATCTGACGATTTTCGTCAAAGCAAAGGAAATCGAATTCCGAATCTGGCGGCCATCTTCAAAGCTCTTGTGCGCCGGCGTACAACATGGATCTCAATTGGTTTACTGATCCCCTTTGAAGTCCGCGTGATATTATTGCGCGGATTGATTGGTTGTTCGAAGCAGGCTGCCATTTTCCCCCATCGTCCATTGCGGCTTCACTTACATCTCATCGACCGCAGAGACTGTGTGTTTTCCCAATGTTTCGATAAATTCCAACCACATTTTTTACCTTGAAGGCACCCGAAATCGATATAAAAAGCATGTCATCACCGAGTAGGAATTCCAGTGGACCTACTCTGCGAAGATCAAGACGATTGAGTAAGGGAAAAGCCAACAGTTCTTTGTCGGCGAGTGGCACAGGTCTTTGTCCTTTCTTTTCGTGTTTACACTTCATTACATTCAGTTTATATTGTAGACTCGCTCAGTAGTGGAGTAGTAATGTACATGTGTAGACTTGGCTTTTATAGATGGAATTGATAGAGGGGGCTGCATGTGTGTTAACTCTGAAGATGTATTTATTGTCAGTTGAGATTCGTGGTTATTGTTCGTGTTTGAGTTTACGTTTATTTCTAGACCTATAGGCCTAGGCAGGCCTACATGTATACATGTATGTGTAGGCCTCCATGTAGCCTATTTCATATTTTGCATGCAGCATGTCGCAAATTAACGATTCTGCAGTGGTTGAATTTAGGCCCAGGCCTGGTACATTTTCAGTTCACAGACACGTTCAGGATTTACAGGGGTACCAGTCGTAAATGCCTGTGGCAACAGGATCTGTCATTTCCCTGAAATTTGAGGAAAGAATTAGAATTAGGACATGCCTAAACAAACTCAACAAACAGTTCAGTGGTTTGGCCAGTAGTCCTCTAATTCTCTATGATTTATCCATGTACAGGATGTATGTGTTTCTGAAATAAATCACTAAAAACATTTGATTATTGGACTGGAAATCATATCTTGCAGATTCGTCTGAACCTCTGTTGTGCAACAGCCATTGCAATGTAGTTAAAAACCAAAACCATGACTTCATAAAAAGAAGCTGTCAAGTGTTTCTTAACCAGGCAAAATTGTCCATCAGTTGACATGACTAGTTGATGATCAAACTTGGCCAGGTATTTTGTCCAGTCTCAAAAATTTTGATTGGTTTGGCCCGCAGTGTGAATAAGTTTGGTTGAATACATATATCATCAATTTATTCCCCGAAAATTGATCTTTAAAACCACAGAAGTCACATTAGTGCACCTTTGACATGTGGAGAAACCAATACATGATTTTGAAGATATTTTGTTGAGTCTTTGTTTATAAATTCGACCAGAATATAATATCAAATCAGTGCTCTGAAATATGTGATTTGATATGATATTTTCGTCGATATTTTGAACACGTTGCTACGCAGCCCTTCCATATTTCTCTGTATACATGTGCTTGATGGATTAAACTGGCACCGAGGAGCGGATCTTCACTTTTGCACATTAATGACCCAGGGTATGGTACACAACCTTTCAAAGGTATCGATAAACCTTGGAAGAATATCAGTGAAAATTTATCATGTTCAAACACTAATTTTTTTTTCTCAAAGTCCTTGGAAATGACAGATCCTGTTGCCAACAGACAGTTACGGAGAGTTCTTTGTGATTATGCACATCTTAAACATGTCTGTCGACTTCAAATGTCTTGGACTTCAAGCTGAGGAATCCATGCAGTTGAAGCAAGAGGGGTTAAATACACTGCCACATTTACAGGTAGTGCTGCGAGCTACAAGGTTCAGTTTGGGCACGGTTTGGAAACTTTGGGCTGAACATCGGTTCAGCTTAGGTTCAGACGTACATGTACATGCTGTACCAGTATATGTACGGGGTATGTACATGTACATGTGTCTGTATAATGCACAGTGAAACATTTAGGGCCTGATATGAGCGTGCCATAGTCCTTCCATGTAAATCTCCTTGTCCAACCGTGTCCGCGAGCAATTTCAACTTACATATATATTTTTCTGAACTACATGTATTAACCCTCCCATGCTGAAGTCACTCTTTGGGTCACTTGGTAAACACCTCAAAGAAGCACAGCTGTGTCATGTTGTGCACTGAATCAGCTGTCCCTCACAGGAATATCAGATTGCACTTTTGTGCTGCCTAACA